CAGTTGACAATAAAATGTCCTGGATTACTACAATAATAGCAAAGGGCTTTATCCTGATTAGAGTTGTATTGACGAGAAGAACTAGACTCTCTTTTAGCTATATAGGCAGGCTTAGGTTGTGGTTCTGGTTGTTGCTGAACCATATTGATAGCTAATTTGTCAAAATGGCTAGTAAGATTATAGATAGTATCCATTATTGGATCTCCTGGTGAGGCCATTAATCTTCCAGTTTCTCATTGTTTAGCAGCAGCAATTGCATCATTCAAAGTTCCTGATGTTGATGTTTGAACAGAGATTGCATATTCTGATCGTAATCCCTTGATAAAAAGTTGAACAATAAAGAGATTAGGGAAAGCATGGTCTGGGTTTGGATTTACTTTCTTTTTTAGTTTCTTAAACTGAGCAGCATAGGTATCTACAGTATTAGCTCCTTGTTTTAGGTCAAAAAATTCTTGTTGCCAGGCAGCTAATTTCTTGGGAGTTGTGAATTCCTTTAAGAACAATACTTTAAACTTGTTATCATCTTCATGATCATTATGATCATACATCTCAATTATATCATCAGCTAGGCCTTTTAGCCATTCCTCTGCATTATCTTGCATGTGAGCTTTAGCAATAGCAAATTTTCTTTCATCACCTCAATTATTAGCAGTAGCAGCTTGTTTAAATTCATTAATCCAATCAACAGGGTCTTCAGTACCATCTCCTTTAAATGACTTAATTTTGATGAGAGATTTTTCTCCTCCTCTTCTAGAAATAGCTTCAGCCAATCAAGTCATAGCAGTTGTAGCAGTTTGTAAATCAGCCATATTTTCTTCTTTGTCAGTATCTGAACTATCTAATTCATATGGAGGTATTAAATTAGTTTGTTCTGAAAGGGGTCTTGTTCTAATATATCTCTTGATTTTGTTTGATCAAAATTTGTTTCTTCTTGGTTATAGTAGATAGGACTAGTTGTTATTCCAGGAAGTTGTAGGTAGACTGGAGAATTGGTTGGAGAATAAGTGAAGGATAAACTAGAAATTTCTGGATAAAGGCGATTTGGACGTGGACTAGGTATTTTAATATTAGGATAAAGAGGCTGATAGTCTTGGTCTAATGAAGTTGTAGAGGTAATGACTTTCTCTTCTGCAGTATATACTAATGCAGTTTTAACTATACTTGGAGTTTCTGTAATTACAGAATGAGTATCGTTCTGGTATGTTCTTGAAGTAGATGAGGATGCAGTTCGATGAAGACTATAAGATACCAAAGTTTTATAAACCCTTTGGATAAATTTAGGTGAAGGAGTAGATGATAAAAAGGCTTCTTCTAGATTAATACTTTGAGTATCAGGTGGGGTTAAAGATTCTTCCCTTCTTTCTGATTGAGTAGTTCGAATAGGAGTTGCAGTAGAAGTAGATGCAATAACAGGTGTTCCTATCCTAATAATAGTATCAGGAGAAGATGGTGGTAAAATAGGTGTAGTAGTTTTTTCTGTAGTTTGTTGTTTTTTGTCTAAGTATAATGTTTGAAGATAAAACTGAGTGGCAGTAGAGTTGTCAATAAAAATATCATAGTGGTTGATATAGGCTTTACTGAGATTATGAAAAGAGATATGTTTTCATAAAATAAGTTGAGCAGTTGATCGAAGATTAGGTATAGCTTCTCTGTATTGGCAGCTAAAAATAATATTTCAAATAGCTAAATGGGCTTTGGCTCAATCAGTATTAACTAGCTGATAAAAACTAGAACTAGTAGCTTGACTATAGGTAGTAGCATTATAGACTTGAGAATATTAGTCTCAAAATTCTTTAAAATGTCCACGAAGAGTAAGTGTTATAAGATAGCACTGAGTATAAGTTAAATCAGGTGCAATAGTTTGAAGAACAGAAATAGCAAGAGAAGAGCTGTTGAGATGGGTTTATCTATGCTTTTGAATATATTCTAGATAATAACAGGTTAACAGATCTCCCATAAAATAAATAAATCTTTATAAAGAAGATTAGTAGTAACAATGATAAAATGATAGAGAAAATAAAATAAAATAAAATAAAATAAAATAAATCGAAGAAGGTTGCTAGTAGTAACGAAATGAAATAAAATTCACAAATAAAATAAAAGAAAATAACTCAAGTAAAGATAACAAAATATAATTCCAAAATTTAAACAAAATATGTGTATAGCCGACAAGAAAGTTAGTAGTAGTAGGAGGTGAAAGCATAAACTCTTTGTCAAAATAAATCCAAATACAATTCAATAAATTAAATACAATTCAAGTTAAGTTAGTAGTAATATACCAAAAATATAATTTTCTAGGATGCTTTTTCTAATAGCTTCTGCTGCTCCAAGAGAGTTGAAAATAGTTTCTGCAAAAAGGTTATCTTCCAAGAGAGAGAGTGAAGTTTTGCTTTCAAGAGGATAAATTTTGCTCTTCACAAAATTTTATGTTTCCGTCAGGAGGCACCAAAATGTTACAGAGCTGTAGCCTTCTTAGTAAAATACAACCAAGTAACAAGGTCACTCAGTATAGTGATTGACTATTGCAAATATATACAAGGTAGATGTGTAGTTGTTCACTTAACTACACAGCAGCAGGCAAATAGTTTGAGATAGTAACAGTATATAAGATAGCTTTATTTAATACAAGAATGGTGATAAGCCTTGCCTGTAGGAATTACTTTAGAAGAGGAATATTACACTTTATAAGATAAGAAGAAGTAAAAGATATCAGAGTCTAAGCGAAGTGTAGGAACTTAAAAATTGGCAGAAAGGGAAAAAAGACACTCTTTATATATCTTTTTATCCACAAAGAGGATACACGATGCACAGTATATAAATAACACTTGGCAGATGAAGAAGGTGAGCTTGTGTAGAGAGAAGTAGGGGATCGTGTTAGGTGAAGAAGATGATTGTGCTGGGTGAAGTAGAGGACATATAAACATTACTCATCATGTTTATATTTATTTACATCTCGTATAGAGGAATTAGAGGACTTTGCTGCACAGTATTTTGTGTTTAAAATATTTAGGACTTGTATAGGGGAAGAAGGTGTTCGTGTGGAGGAAGAAGGTGAACTTGTGTTACTTTCTTGTGTAATACTTTTGTGTAATTCAAAGGACTCTTTTGTGTAATCTTGTATTACCTGAGGTCATGTGAGATCATGTGACTGTGCTACACTTCCAATAGCCAATTAAAATGTTTCTATATTAATGCTATATAATATTCTAAAAATTATTACAAATCACCACTGGTGATCATCACCGGTGATTTACGATATATAATTAGGTATAATGTGTAAACTTTTTAAACAAAAGTTTATTTGTTTTGATATTAGAGTAAGGGTAATGGTTTAATAATAAAGTTAAACAAAATCTATAATAAAATTTTGCAAGAAATTTTTTTTGTTAGAGCCCGAAAAATGTTTTCATAGACAAAATTTTAAGATACGATTGATTTTTTAAAAAATTCTTTGTTTTTGTTACATGAAACTGTTCTATATGTTACACCTGATCTTGCAAATTGATTGGCTAATTATGTACTGGTGATGATCACCAGTGGTGATAAATAGCAAACTTCAATATTCTATCTAAATATATATAAAACTAATATATAATAATATAATAAATATATCTAATATTTTAACTATATAAAAATGCAAATATTTTGAATAATAATAATTAAAAATAACTAAATAATGTTTAATAAAATCTATACTAAAAATCTACTTTGTAACAATATAGATTGATTTAAAATACAGAACCAAGTATGGTACTTCAACATACTAATAATAGAAATCTTTATACATTCTAAAAAGTTTAATAAAAATATTTTAGATATTATTTAATAGAGCCATACCTTATGTTTTAGAAGCTTATTGAGTTAAAAGCTTACATCAGCTGCCAATATTTATAACTTTAGAGTTAATTGGACAAAAAACTTTTTAATAAAGGTTTTGTAATTACAACCCTACTCTTAAATTAAAACATCCACCCGAGCTTAATTTTCACATCTATATTTATTCTGCCAAAGCTTAATTGCTAGATTTAATATAGTATTCATAATTACATTTAGATAAGCTATGTTAAAATAAATCATGAAGGTTCTATTTTAGTGAAAAATTCTATTTGAGTTAGCTCAAAATTTCAAAATCAACTTCTTATAGATAAAGTGCAAGATGCATACTTATATATATATGTAATGTATATGTATAAGATTATATAGGGCATCAAAAGTAGAAACCAAGAAATTTGGCTGATTACGGGTTTTAAGAAAATCAGCAAAAACTATTTTGTTACACAAAATCAAAACAATTTAAAAATAGTTTATTCAATATTAACAAACTTGTTTAAACAGGATTATCAGATCTGTAGATCACTATCACACTAATATTTGCACTAGTAAATCTATTTTTAGATTATAGCATCAAAAGCTTTTAACCAATGTATCACAAAAATTTATTAAATGATTAGACTTTATTATTAAGCAAAAAGATTGGGCTTTAAATTTTATACCTGATAAATCAAACAAATTAATTTTCAAAAAATTGTTAAATTTCTTGGTTTTTACTTTTGACACTCCATATATTAAGAATAAGTATTTATTGTTATTTTTTTTTTAATCTTCAAAGGTGAGGCCTATTTATTGTTATTTAAAATAACTTATTTTGGTATAATCACATAAATTTTTAATCCGGGTAATTATATATAATTAAAATTTTTTAGATTTTACAGATTTTACAATTAGCAAAATTACTTTATATAAAGTGTATATATATATACGTACATATATATATTAATATAGTAATATAACAGGTTTTTTTTATATATAAAAAATGTGATAAGAATACTTTTTATTAAATTAAAGCTGTAACCTATATACTTATGGAAATAAGACATAAATACATATGTTATTCTTATAACTAGTCATTTATGTTTATTGATTTTACTCAATCTCAAACATTTATACGTATAAGGCTTTGATTAATTCTGATAAATTTCTTTCAAACATCAAATATTAATATGACAAGTCAAGATAGTAAGCTAAAAAACCCAGTGACAAGTCAAGACAATAAACTAGAGAACCTAATGATGAGTCAAGATAGTGAGCCAGAGAACATAAATTAGAATAATAAAAAGTTGAGTAGATGATTATGTGCACCGATCTGAAATTTTTTTATAGTAGGAGAAGAAATAGATTCAGGTCACTGCTCAGTTACTTGTAATTGTAGTACTTTTTGAAAAAGAGGAAGACCCTCTACTCTAGAACAGCATATTTTAGTTGATTGCAAAAAAGTTTAACTGTATATTAAAGAAGCTGTACTAAATATGATAGAATCACATGAAAAGATATTAACTAAAATTACTTGTAAAAGAAAAGTGACAAAAGATTAACAAAATCTTAATAGCTATTTTAAAAATTTAGCATTAAGTGATGAACAAAAAACAAGTATTGACATTGCTTTTATCAAACTTTTTGTTTGTGATAAACTTTCTTGGCATCTTGTAGAATATCCTTTTTTTGTTAAATTTGTTCAACAATTACGACCAGCTTATTGTCTACTTATCTGTAAAACATTGGATAAAACATTGCAAAATAATGAAGTTTTACGTGTTTATACAACAATTTACAAGATGCTGAATAAAGAAAAAAATTTAACTCTGGATAAGTAAATTTTTTTTAAATATATAATAAAATTTAAATATACTTTATATATATTAATAAATTTATTTTATTGTTATTATTATCATTATTATTTTTAGCTTTGGATGGTTGGATGAGTTCTAATGGAAAAGCATTATAGAATTTTATTATTCATACTGATAGTGGAAATAATATACTTTGGAAAATCCTTGATTTTTCTGATAAAAAACATACAGGCCAATATCTTGCAGAACAGATTGAAGCCATCCTAAATGATCTTAGAAATCATAAGTTTTCTACTATTGTAACTGATGCTGAACTGAATGTTAATATAGTATGACAAATAATAGTTCAAAAATTTCCATACATTTGCAATCTGAATTATAAATTGGTCAACTGTAATAACATCTTATTTTAATAAAAGTCATTTACTAAAAAATTTACTTGAATCTAAAATTAAAAAAAAAAAGATTCAAGGTGAAGGTTTGAAGACATACGTTAGTACATGGTAAATTATAGCATATGAAATGCTTCATTCTATTTATCAGCTTGAATCATATTTAAAAAAAGTATTTATTTAATATTTTATACATTATTATTTACTTAAATTTAATATACATATTAAAAATAAAAAATTTTTTTTAAAAAGTTATTAATAAAAATCCTAATGTTGCAATTAATAAACTATACAAACTATCATTCTATGAAAATGAGAATTTTTTCAAGATGTTTATGATCTAATAAATATTATTAAGCCTGTTAAAGATGCTATTACTTTTTTAGAAAAACAAGATACGAATTTTGCTGATTGCTTTTTGGGACTTGCTCAGTTAGAAGCTGCAATTAAACTGATATCAGGAACAGAATATAAAATGTTTCGTTATTATTGTATAAAAGTTTTTAATTTCCGTTTTAAAGAATTTGACTTTGATGAGCACTTGCTTGCATATTATCTACATCTAGGATATTGAGGCAAGCATAATATATTTAATTAAAATTTTATAAATTTATAATTTATTATAATAGAGAAAACTCTTCCCATCAATCACTTACACCAAACCAAACCTAAAAACTAACAAGACAAAAATGACCACAACTTCTTAAATTATTAGGAGAACTTACTTTAATGCTCTAAGTAAACTTGTCTATTTACTCATTTTACATATACTACTAAAGTTTTATAACTTTAGCTTACAAATTCGTCAAAAAACTTACTAAAAAATAAAAAATTTATAAACTCAAAATTTTCTTGAATTATACTAAGAAAACTATTTACATTCCTTAATACAAACTTACTCAGCTCCTTCATACAAACATTTGATATATAATATACTACAAACAAACCAAAACTTATTCAACTATAACTAAAACTTCTTTAACTCTTCTCTTACTAATTTCTCGAAATTTTACTAAGTAAATCTTAGCTCTTACTTAAGACAAATTTGTTCTACTCATCAAGATAAACATTTTGATATATATTTTATTACAAACAGACAAAAATTAACAATTTTACATCAGACAAACTTTAAATTCTCTTGTTAAAAAACATACTCTTGTTCTAAAAATTCACTAGTAATTTTTCTGAAATTTTATTGGCTTGCCCTAGAAAATTCACTTTTTTCTACCCATTAAAATTTCTAAAGACCCAACAAATCCCAAAATTTTACTCACTAAATTTGGAAAACTTACTGGACATCTCTGGAAAACTTACTAGTTATTTAAAATTTTAATAGTTTATATATTATTTAACAAAAATCAACTACTGTATATCTCAAAATCGACTAAGTAATCCATATAGACCCTTAATTGAAATTTGTTCCTAAGACAAAAACGCACATAATATCCAAATCTTAGATCTATATCTTTCAAATTCATCAAGAAAATCAACAAAAAGCTACAAAATTTCTTCTCAACATCTATGAATTGTTTAACAAAAATTGACAATATCTCAAGATTTTATTAAGCAAACCTCACCAGACCTTCTAATTGAATTTGTTTCTGAAATCAAAATACATATTGTTCTAAAATATCAGACCTCTATCATCTAAACTCAGAAAAAATCAACAAAAAGTCTTACACGACCTAAATTTATTCTCAAACTTATACAACAAAAATTATACTATAACTCAAAAATTAATATAGTAAATCTTCTTTGGTGTCTTAAACAAACTTAATCCTTAAATAAATTCACATATACTCTAAAAATTTCAATACTTACAGCCTAATATTCACTGATTAAATTAACAAAATACCTAAAAACTCACTCATTAAATCTAACTAAAAACATGTCTCAACGAAGATTTCCTTACCACCAGCTTACTATTAAAAATTCTTTGGACTGGTTCCAAGCATTTCCTATCAACAAAAAAGCTAAAAGCCAAACTCAATTTTCTATACTATTAGGTACACAGGTACTTGACTTCATTAAACTATTCCTTCAAAACTTCTATTCTGACAAAATTATTCAAACAGAAACAACCAACCAATACAGCACTAAAAGCAATTTTAATGATCTTTTACAAAATATGATTT